TTTCACTCAAGTCTGGTGCTCTACCATCAGAACCACACTTCTTAACATTTTTTTTGGTCATTCATGGGCTTAAACTCAGGGTCTGGGTGCTGTCCCTGAGCTTTTTCACTCAAGGCTAGCACTCTACCACTTTGAGCCACAGCACTACTTCTGGTTTTCTGATGGTTAATTGGAGTTAAGAATCTCATAGACTTTCCTGCCCAGACTGGCTTTTAACCATGATCCTCAGTTCTGAGGCTCCTGAGTAGCTAGGATTTACAGGTGTGAGCCACGGGCGCCCAACACACTTTATTCTTTCATTTGATTCTGGATAATGAAAAGCAAAACTTAGGGGCTGGGAAGGTAGCTCAGTGGTAGGGTGCTTGCCTTGCATGCATGAGGCCCTGGACTCCATTCCTCAGCACCACATAAGCAGAAAAAAAAAGCCGGACGTGGCGCTGTATCTCAAGTGGTAGAGTGCTAGCCTTGAGCTGAAGAGCTGAGGGACAGTGCCCAGGCCCAGAGTTCAGGCCCACAACCGGACCCCCCCCCCAAAAAAAAAGAAAAGAAAAACTTGACACCAGCAACAAAGCAAGTCATCAAATTAAGTGCCAATTTAAAAGAACAAGGAAAATGCTCACCTGTGTCACGGAGGTCACTGGCTTTGGTCCTGGCCCGGCTGGCTTTGGCACTGTCATTGCCATGGGGGTCATCTTCATTGGTGAACAGCATGATCCTCTTATGGCTCATCTTGACCTGGACGTCACTAAAGAGGTTGGCACAGACCCACAGCACTTCACTCAATGAGTAGTCAGATCCATGGCCAATGAGCTCTTGAAAATGGGTTTTTCCCTGCTGTCCCTTAAAGCGGTCCAGCTCTAGCACTCGTTTAGCACCTGATCAGAGGCAGGAGTCAAATGGGCAGAGAGACCAGAAGAGCATCAGTTCCATCCTCGCCACAGGCTAACAGAGGGCCCTTTCTGGTAAGTCAATGAATATTACACATGCAGGAAAGCACGCGCCTAAACAACAGGAAGGCAGATTCCTCATCCACAGTCCTCTTTGTTTGGGGTAGTGACATTCTTGGATAAGCAAAAACACTGATTTTTAGAACATTACTGACCTGGATTATCCAACTCTTGTAAGACATAAATATTTTTGAAATTCACTGAATTTTTGTCTTTCTCCGTGCCATAGAACACCACTGCCAAGAGATCACGATTACTGCTTATGATCTTATTGGTGTACACACTCACAATACACTGCAAAAATAGAAAGTAAAGGAGTATTTACATAGCACTATAGTTCCATAGGTGTCTAGTATGTGCTCAATATAAAGCAGCTGAATTTATACATGGCACTAGGCTAGGACACAACCTCTATCTTCAGGAAACTCCTGAATCTAGTGTGATGGGCAGAGATATCTATTAGATAGTAAGTATAGATATATACCTATATCTATAAAGTATACCTTATATGTTACAAATTATAAATTACATGTATTATAAATTATATGTAAATATATATCTGTATACCTATTTATATACAAGTATCTATCTACAAATAGATATTTATCTGTAATACAACACAAAGAACAATCTGTATTTAACAGAAGGTAAGAAATCAAAAACATGATTCGAGCCAGATGTGGGAGAGCAAACCTGTAATCCCAGTGCTTGGGAGGCTGAGGCAGGAGGACTGAGTGCTGGGATTACACGAGTGCACCACCATCACAACTCTACTTTCTTTTAAACAATGATTCCAGCTATATGCTTGTGGCTTACACCTGGAATCCTAGCTACTCGGGAAGCTGAGTTCTGAGGATTGAGGTTCAAAGCTAGCCTGAACAGGAAAAGTCTTTTTTTTTTTTTTTTGCCAGTCCTGGGGCTTGAACCTAGGGCCTGGGTGCTGTCCCTGAGCTGCTTCTTTTTTTTTTTTTTCAAGTTTTATTTTTTTTTCTCCTTTTTTTTTTTTTATTGTGAAAATACTGTACAGAGGGGTTACAATTACATGGGCAAGATAGTGAGTACATTTCTTATCAAGTGTTGTAG